CAGCACCAAAGCACCTATCTGGGACAAGCTGGAAATATTTTTAGAATGTGGAGTACTGATATGCTGAACATAGAGGCCTTGAGGTCTCCCACATCTGTTAATGCCAGAAGGATTCCTCCTGGACACAAACGGACAGAGCCATTAAATAAAATTCCCAACCCAAAGCATATGAAGGGAAGCCAGCAATTTCTAAGAAAACCAACTCTTTTTCCAAAAATTTCTGAGTACAATAACTGAAAGCTTATGAACCCTTAAGAAAATTAACAGCATATGAAAAATTTCCCTCCCGTATATATGGAAAACCTTATGGATTTGCCACTAATCACTGATTTCAGTAACAGCTTAGCTGAATGAACAAAGCATACATTTGTTACATCTGCTGACAAGTAGAAGATGTAAAAGGCTACAGGCACTTTAGAGCCAAGAGAAAATTCAAAATAATCTCAACAAAATGGTGACACATTTTGAAAAAATGCAATGAAATTCAGTACAAAGGACTAAATCCAACACTTAAGATATACGCATAACCCCAGACAGTCTATTGTCTGGGCAGCAGCTTTGCAGAGAAGGTTCTGAAGTCTGAGGAGGATTAGGACCTAACAGAAATCTGTAATGTCAAACTGCAGAGAAAAAAGTGACTGTAATGAGACATGCAAACATTTTTCCTGTGCTAAAAAGGTAGCTTCATCTGAAACACTTAAAAAAATGTGGGCAATCAGAACAAGATGGAAACAACAAATAATACATAAATATTATATATTTATATATCAAATAAATGATAAGATACCAGAAAATATAAACCACAAAGGAAAACTGAAAGAATAAGAGGAGACAGGAGAAGATAAAAAAAATTCAAACATAATAAAAAACTTCTGCAAAGGGAAACATCATAAACTGACTTCCATGGCTGCTGGGAACTGGACAGGAAATAGTGAGCTTAAATAGCTGCAAGAATGTTTTTCTTAGAGATTATGAAAAATTTTCTACTGTTAAGCAGAATGAAGCACTGAAACAGATTGTTTCAGAAGATTGTGCACTCTCTATCATGGGAGTGTTTAAAGAGCTGATCCAATAAACATGCCAGACAGACGTGGTTCAGGTATAGCTGTAACCTGAGTCAAGGATGGACTACCTAACCTCTTAAGGACCCTTCTAGTCCAGTTTATCTACTGCAGGTTTTCATCTTTTGCATAGTTTCTCATGATACAATATGGAAAAAGGCTGGAGCACACAAGAATACAGGAATACTTCTTTGAACGAGTAAGTACTAGCCATGACATACAACAGCCCTGCATTATAGCAAAGGTGAAAAGAAAATAAAGGAAAAAACCAAAAGGGTTACTGGCTATGCTTTCTGAATCAGCCTTCTTTTGAGTCATCTCTCAGAGTACAACATGAACATACTGTCTGATCATCAGCCATTAAAAAACACGAACTATTGCCAAGCACTCCACCAACACATAGGCTACGGAGATTCCAACACACTCATCTAAGTATAAGACACTGCTGCCAAAGCAGGAGACTGCCAGTGCGCTAATATACCTTTGCATGCATGTAGGATGGGAAGCTTTTGACAACAAAGGCAAATTTCACCCAGGATGATATGCTACAGATATTTCTCTATCTTGTGTTCCAGAGCTATCCAGACTGCATGAAGCAATTAGATGCTGGAGTCCCAGAGGATGGATGAAGTATACCAAATTGTGTTTAAATGGTATTAGTCAAAAATCCTAGCTGATTTAAAAAATGATGCAATAAAATGTGTCTATGCTTCATCGCAAGGCAAGCATAAGGACATCTCTGCTAGCCAACTATCTAATTCTACATTTGCATGTATGCATGAAACAGTTCAACAGACAACAAGAGCTGTGGGATCAACCACAGGGGACAGAACCTCACAAAATCCTAGTCTATCTGTGGTAAAGTCAGAAAGGGCCTACTGATTTTTAATGAGGGCACGCAGGGCTTTCAGTAAGTTCCCATTGCCAAGAGGCAAGACAGGACAATATACGGCATTTAACATAACAAGGAAATAGAAGAAGGATTTTGCAATACCATTGTGACTAACACGCCACATCAAAATTCAGACAATTCAGTATTAAGGGAGGATGAGAGGTACAGATGTTTCAAGCTGGATACCCCCAAAGGCATCAGGGGTCAAAGAAACTAATGGATAAAGGATGGCACTTGGCTCAGCAATGCCACTTACTGCAAAACACTCAGGGTCTAGCAGACATGCAACTGACAGGATAAAGATTCATGGTTTCTCTCCCCATTATACATATTATATGGATTTCTATGGCTCAACAGAGAAAAGGCACATGTGACAAAGAACATCACACTAGGCATCTAATTACTAGGAAGAGGCTAATGACTGGAGGCCCTTGGGCACAAATTCACAGTTTTTACTATCTATCAATCAAAAAAACAGAGGTGAAAGTACAAGCACCAGTAAACTACAGATCATAAGAAGTAGACCAGAGAGAAACTTAAAACAATCAAAGTAGTTCCAAACAGCCAGAGGAAAAGGGCCAGGACTCAAAGACAGCCTTAGTAATCTTCCCACCTGTTGCAGAAGACTTAAAAAATAATATAGGAGAAAGACAGACACAGCTATGTAGTACTTAACAGCTGGTCTTAACTACTCATTAGCACAAATGACAAAAGACCATAAATTGCTATAAACACCTAGAAGCTGAACAGAATATGGAGAGAAAAATACAAGTTTGGAGAAATCACCATGGAAGCAATTCTGCATGGCAAAATGCTTGTGATGATTGTGTCACCTCTGTGCAAGGAAGTAAGTAAGCAAGCAAACAAAAAAAGGCCACCTTGCTTCAGAATTCTGGGAACAAAAGCCCATATGGACTCTGTCACATTGACACCAAGTACGGATGCATGGAGGACCAAGATTACAACCTGGCAATTACCAAAACCTAGGTGCTTCACAGAGCTCAAAAAACGAAGTTCATTAAAAAAAAAAAGAATACAGCTATAGTTTCTAATAATCCAGTTTGCATATACAGTCACATCTTTCATGCCAAATATTTAATCATGTTAATATTTTAACGTTAAGATTTTTCCTTGGCCAATTCAAAGGGCTGAGATGGAGTTTGCTGTCCCAAGTATGGTCAAGCAGACTGTTCGTATCTCCTTCCTGACTTGATTGACTCTTACCATTGAGCTGTTCAAGATTAAAATATGCTTTCAAAAACGTGTTAAGGTTTGCCTTGTTGGCGAACATGCCTGAAAATCCTGCGTAAGGACTGTGGCAAACAAACCAAGCCAAGAGTTAAAGTACAATTCATGTTAGTTTTAAATGGTTTTCATATGTATATCTGCATAGGAACTGTTTTAAATTCTAGGCTGCTAAAACAGTCATTCAAGGCATTCACTCTAAGTAACAATGATGAGCTCTTCCAGAAATTCTAACACAACTCCTGCAGGGTTCACTTTCAGAACTCATTCATCCAAGAATCTGCAAACAAGATCTAGCTGATATGCATAAATAACATAAAAGGAAAAGCTTCCCTTAAGCTCAGAGAACAGCTGCAACTCAGTTCTCTAAGACATACTGCCTCAGTGAACAATGGACACGATAAACTGTTAATATAGCCTAAAACCAAGGACATAGTGATCCTCTGAAAATCTTATTCAAGCTTTTATTGTAGTGAATTATTTAGATTTTTTAAAAAAGTGCCTTAAATGAAACAACGCCATTTAATGTTCATTTGCTGAGGGACAATGAATAAGGAGGTTTTTAGGTGGTCTTGTTAACAACTGCTGCTCTTCATCTGGTTGTTCTTTTTCTCTTCCATTTACTATCCACCTAGGTAGTAAGTCCTTCATTCTACATATTATAGTTGCAATTGTAAATTAAGCAGTTATTTACTACTCTACGTAAGTGTGTACGAAAATATTTTTACAAGGGACAAAGCAGGTTGCAGATTATTTAGCGAGGCTCCACTCTTTATCAAAAGACTACACTGAGTGCAAGTAGTGGACATTTTGTCCTGGGAATGTTATGCCAATGCTCATTACGTCTTCTGAAGTCAGGCTTACTTTCCCCAAAAGTACAAAAATGATAATTGAAAAAGAAAGTTAAGTTTCAAAAAGGAAATCATACCATGAAATACTGATACAGAACAATGCTTAACAAAAAATAACCTAAGACCTGATGATGATGAGGACTGCACACTTGAGGTTAGAAAGGTGATTAAGTGCTTGGTTAAATATAGCCTTAAAATATGTCTTCAGATTCTATTCATAATTAAGAAAGCCTGATTGTTTATGATGCCTGTTACTCTCTACTCGCAGTGGAAATGCAAAGTGCTTGCTATACTGTATATTATAATCAGTACTTAGCATACTGTTTATTACTATAATCACAATATAAATGTCTAAACCCTTGCATCTTTTCTCCTCTAAAGTATATTTGCTTTAAATCTGTCCTTTATTTTATGACATTCAGAATTGCAATTATGTTTTACACAGCAGAAACTTTCAGTATTTAAGAAACCACTTTCTTAATCAGTCTTCAGAGAGTGTGAGGCAGGATATGTGTAATTCAGGCATACAACAAAGTCAATAGATACAAACACCTGGTAACAGCCTGAACAAAATTCTGCAGCAACAAAGCCATAACCATATTACTTTTATTAAACCAAAATACATAATTTGCCATTCCAATTTTATATTGTTGGAAAATAAAAGCTGTATAAAATACTACTGAAGTACTATGAGCTACTACACACATACTTAAAAAGAACATGACTTAAATAAGGGTTACACACTAGAAAACATATTTTCAACATCTCACACTAAACCATCCTGCCCATGGCTCTGTCCAACCTGGCCTTAAACAGTGCCATGGACAGAGCCTTCACAACTACCCTGGGCAACCCATTCCACTGCCTCACAACCCTTACAGTAAAGAACTTGTAACAAAGGGGGTAATTGTTAGCTTCTAACTGGAAATAAAAGAAGTCTGAAAAACTATATTATTTTGTTTGCATAAGTTAAGTCATTGAACACTGTCATGATACAGCATTTGTAAAGTTGGCAGTAATTAAGAAAACATTTGGTAACATACTGAATTCACTAGAGTTTTATTTTTAAAGAAATGTTTTTCACCTAAATTATAAAGCTATATAACTGACATAAAGAGGAGTTCTTTGCACAATGTAATTAATTCCTTATTACAAAATTCAAATATGGGATTACAATCCAGTGTAACACAACAATTTTTTTTTTTACACTACAACAAGTTTTATGAAGTATTATTTCCTTTTATATTTTGACCCACTACACACAATAAAGAAGTAAATGCCGCACTTTGCTACAAGTCTTCTTTAGGTGAAATCTTTCAAATTTTACGTTTTTTCCACTCTGGCTTGTCTGTTTCATCATCTTCTGGTTCCACTTCTGCAAAAACTGCTTTTGGTTGTGTTCTAGAAAACATTAAAAAGATTAAAATAATGGTCAGACTAAAATTGTTTATCAGGAATTATATTAGACATGCACTAGACACAAATGACATCCTTTCTATACTTAAAAAGAGAGTATCCTACACCTGCCTGGTTTTCATTTTCAACAGAAACCTGTCAACTAATCTTCTAAGAAGTGAAGAAACTTGCGGCTCTCAGGCAAAAAACAAGCATAACAAACACACATCTTCTGAAAGTATTATTTCCTCATCAGCTCGCAATCATTATCTGTGTATTCCATGAATAAAATTAAGATAGAAGAGAGGAACAAATCAATTTGACACAATGCTAGGAAAATGGAGCTGCAGATCTTCTCATTCCGTGGTTTACAAAAAACAGAAACCTCCATTTTGATACACTATAGTATGACAGCAGTCAGTAAGTGAAAACAGAACAGCCAAGCCAGGTTTTCTGGCTTAGCCTGTGCATGAAAAAACCTGGCTTCTCTGAAGACTTTTTATCCAGCACTACTGTAACATAAAAACCCTACTGATCTTCAGATGAGAGCACAGTGTATCCTACAGTGAAGCTTGATGATATCTATTCCTCCGCTGTTTACTTGTCTTTTAAATAACACTTGAACTTTATAAAAACAATTATCGATTACTTTTTAAATGAACACAGTATCAAGTAGCATTTCAACAAACTGTTTGGATGTTCAGTTCCCCTGTTTTACACTTTAATCACTGCATGGTCCCCTTTTGCAACCTAATTCTCAGTACAATCACTGTGGAGCTGAACGCTCTTGAATTCTCATTACAACAGACATGACAAAGTATAAAATGCAGCCAGGGCAGTCATCATCTCATTAATGTATTAACTAATGTTTTTACAGCAGTCTAAGGATGTGAAACACTATTACTGTAACCACTGTTATGTGGCAGACTCTACAGAAGGCAAAAACCTTAACAAAATTGTGTCTGCCTTACTTAACATAATAGGTATAATTCAGTGTTGCCACTGACTTTGAAGAGTAATAGCAAGCCATTAGTTATTAAAGAACAGGATTCTCTGCTTTGTTAAATACAGGCACAAAACAGATTTAAAGCCACCAGAACTAGTCAAAGCCAACTTCCCTTATACAAAGGATCTTTTTATTGGCCTGTTTTCTCCGCCATCCTCCAAACTTGTCATGGAGGTAAGGAGAATACTACAAGGTCCCACTGCAAGACTCTACAAGGTCCCACTGCAAGACTCTATTGGCACGTGGTCCCTGGGTGCAGTCTGTACATCTTATTACGCCTAAGCAGACCTCGCACCCAGATAGGACCCATGCTGCTGAAAGTCAGGTGAGTCATTCTGCTCCCATAGAAAGCAGATCTGAGACTGAAAAAAAGTTTCTGATTTCAAAATTTCATTACAAAGTTACATAAACTCCACTTCACCGGTAATTGAAGGAGGATGTTAAAATAACAACAACAACAGAAAGATAAAAACACTCAATCCAAAACAGATACCCAGGATGAAGGCTTTACTGGCAAAAATACTGGATTTTGTTAGCTGCTGAAGAGGTGGAATGTATGGAATCTTCTTCCCTTTTTTCTAAAACATATCGATGGAAGTTTATTTAGCCCTCTTTAACAGTGTAACTTCCTTTTATCACAATAAATGAAAGGTATCTAAATGCCATATAGGATCACACCAGGTCAGTATCGAGGTCCTTATTAGTAAAGCATGACTAATTATGTATAAATATAAATTTTGACCACAAAGCCTCCTACTGTTATAATTTTGGTTAGAAACTTCCAACTAAGGAGAATGACTTAATTTGTCAAACAAGCAGCAGAATCTCTATATTTTCCAGGATCGGTGTGGCACAGAACAGTTACAGACTTCAGCTAGTGTATTACACTGAGTCTAGTAACACTGGGGGTGGGAGGTGAAAAGAAAGAAGCTGCAGTGTCACATAGCAGTAACCAGCTAAAGCAAACACATACAGAGGAAATCAGCTATGCTTGCTATCTCGTTTTTGAAAATTAACATGAAATGGCTGTAGCATCAGCTCAGCTGAAATGTAAACTGTTCCACCTCCACAAGCCACACAGCAGCAATTGGAGCCTAGGGCGATTTGTATGGTAGATCATTTTAAAGGCATAAGCTTAGAAAACACTGTTTTCATTTTAGTATTATCAGCAGTGATCATTTAATTTAAGTACAAAATGTTCCGCTTAGTAACTGAAATAGAGACTACTAGCATAGTAGCAGCTTGACACATGATTAATACAAAAGTTATCAGAACAGGTTTACTACTTCAAAATATTTTTATTTCTGATGACTAAATAACACATGGGGAAAATGCTGTTCTTTTTCCCCATCAACTTTCTGTATTTCATTTATCCTTGACTTTGGGGTTGACTTCAGCTTGTTAAGGATCCAGTTGATAGATTGCATCAGACACTGCCATAGAGGGCAAAGAGCCCAAAAGTGCTGGCTGATCTTTGAGGAAAACGTCCCCAAAAGGTTCCATTCATGGGGAGAAAGTGAAGTCTGGCAGAAATGTATTATGGATACACAGGGATCTCCTGTCTGAGATCAACCCAAAAAAAGGATGAACACAGACAGAGGACACAGGGACAACCTTATCCAAGAGGAACAGAGACATTAAGTGAAGATGTAGGAACTGAGTTACGAAAGTAAAACCACAGCTGGAGTAGAAACTGGGAAGAAACTTGAAAGGCAACACTACGGGCTTCTACAGGTACAATGACAGCCACAGGAATGCTAAGTAAAATGTGCTCAATGGGGCAGGAAACCTGCTGATTTAGAATATGGAAAAGATCAAGACACTTTATGCTTTCTCTGGCTCAGTTTTCCCTGACAAAGTCTGTCCTCATGTCTCAGAGGACCCCGATACTACCATCAGAGTCATTGGGAGGGAGTGAGACATTATCAACAGAAGAGGAAGATGGAGACAGGGAGTACGCTGCTCATTAGACATACACAAATCCATGAGATCAGATGGGATTGATCCAAAGGTACTAAGTGAGCTGGTACATCAATGAATGCCAATGTGACTCTGTCATTGCAAGAGCACTCTATCATCTTTGAAAGGTCATGGTGACTAGGGGAGGTTCTCAATGATTAGAAAAGGCAAACATCGTAATCTTTATGAAGGGCAAAAGAAGATTTGGGGAACTACAGGATATTCTACCTAAGCCCCTGGGAAGGCTATGGGAACAATCCCCATTGAATGCATTTCCACTCACAGTCAGGACAAGAAGGTGATAGGAAACAGCCAGCATAGATTTAGCAAGAGCATACTATGCCTGCCAACCAGACTGCTGAACAGGCTGCCCAGAGAGGTGTTGTGGAATCTCCATCATTGAGGATATTCAAACTTGGCTGGGCAAGTCACTGAACAATCTCAATGCACTGACAAATGCACTCCCATTGTGGGTTACACTAACAGGCTGCAAACAAAACCAGGAAAAAAAACTAACATGATTTCCTCATACTGTGTGCTTCTTTTTATTTTGGCATTTCTCAACAAATACAGATACGCAGACCTCTAGAAAATTTCCAGGGGCCATGCAGACTGCTTTTGAGTCACCATAATCCCTCTGGTTATGGGTTGTTTTTCTTAGTTACTTTTCAGGGATCCAATAAAAGTAGCTTATTGACATCTGAGGTTCACAGACTAGCAGCTAAAAAAAAAATACTGCTGCAGTTAAACGAGCTGGAGAAGACAACTGCATGTCACACAGCATGTGACTCATGCTGCAATAACTTTTGAAATTGGTGTTTATATTGCACTGGAATAAAGAAAAAAACATGACTTTCAAGCATGCTCAGAAACCACAATAATGTCATAAAGGCTATTTCCAGACTCAAAAATGAGGATTTGCAGCATGAGACACCTTTATATTCCTTACCCCACCAACTAGCCTGACACTTCCCTGAATCTCAAAATTTACTAATTTTTAAAACAGATTAACCTTAAATACACCAACATGTGCCAATGAAATCATTGTTACATAAAATTCTCTTCAGTCCTGCTTCTTCAACTAAAGGTACCTGAGCCAATGCATGACCAGCACTTCACACACTGCTACTGCCACTGAGAAAAAGTTCAGTGAATACAGCACAGCTACAGGTTGTTGCTTCAAGTCATTCCCTTTTGCCTGTGATAGGCAGCAGTGATAAAGACAGCAAAGTAAGGACAACATCACTGAAGAGAAAGGTATTTTCTAGAGAACTCCGGTCTATCTTGGTGGGAAGGAAAACTTCACCGTCACTTTCCCTATGGTACAGAAGAGAGCTACATCTGGGCCTGATTAGGCCCTAAGCTACAATGCTTAGCAATTCCTTCAGAGGGACATCTGAAGTCATAGTATATCTGTACAGCTGTGCTAAAACAAACAGCTCACAAAGAATGTAATTTTCAAACATTTACAAATGATGCCTCAAGTTCTTTTCCTGTAGCTCTTTACTTGAAATCTTCAATCTGTCCTGCCTTTCCTTTCACTCCACTGAAATTTGAAATCTTTTAGAGACTCTTGCCAAGGTCTCTAAAAAGCTTATCCTGAAAAATCTCAAGATCTTTTCTTTATCCTCACCCACTATGACTTTTCTGCTGTGTTGGTCACATTTTTTCACCACTTCATTCATTCTGTGACATGTCATCTCCTAATTCAGCATGCACGTTTTATAATCCTCAATATCCTTTTCAGCAGCATCTGCTTTTTCACCCATCCTTTTGCCTTTTATGTACTTCCCCCTGCTTTTCTGGCTTAAATTTTAGAAGAAGTAGAAAGGCCAGGCCAATAATAACAAGCTTGAAAAATTTTCCAATTGAAAATACAATTAAAAAAGCGTGAAGACAGCTAATCAGTATGAATGGGGGCAGTCATCACAGAGTTACAAAAGCTCTGATCAACTGAAAAAAAAAAAAAAAGGAATTTCTTAGTCTTCTCAGTCTAAAATTATGTAATAACCATCACTGAAGAAAATTAGCTACAATTTTCTTAGACATTTTCTTGATAAGGAGAATGAAAAACTGTAGATGAATAACCATCCATTAGGCAACACAAAACCAAAAGCCTTGTCGAACAAGAGGTACATCAAGCGGATAGCACATTAAGTGGAAATTTACGACAAGAAATGTGGAGAAAATGAGAGTAGAGAAACGAAGTACTGAAAAGAATGAACAGTATTAAAAAAAATAACTTAGATGTATGATTTTTAGGTCTCAAGACAGAATGCAATTTAAATGTGTATCCGAATATCAACTTTCCTAATTTTATAGTGTATCTTACGCTATAGCTAAGTTACTAGCTTCCCTAGGTTTGTATACTGCTCATTATTATGAACTACTGGTCTTAAAAGGGCCACCAGGGACACTCAGTATTAATGGTAATTTATGACAATTACTTCTAATTTGCATAATTTATTAAATATGCATCCATATGAATATCTGCAAGATGCTTTAGACACAGGGTAAACATACATGCCAGGTAAAGTCAGATATAGGATATAATTAACACAGCTGTGTGTGTGGGCAAGTAGCTAATGAAACCTATGACTATCATTGGTCTACAGCTATTAATTGGTCTACAGCTATAGACTGAATATTAATAAATATTTCTGAAAATAAAAAACATACCACAATAATAAAGTTTTTGCACTCAGCGTATTAAATAATAACAACAAGAATAATAATAACAAGAATAATAATTTTAAAATGCTCTTTGCATAGACTACATCTTAAAGTCAAGCTTTTAAAGCAAGGATAATGGCAGTTGCATTGGCATGAGATTTATCAGCTGACAAAACCATCAAGGCAACATGCTGTTGGCTGTAGTCCAGTCCCCCCAGATATGTATCACCGTCTGGTGTGTAAGTTAATAGCAGTCTGGACCTGGATCTTCCCACTTCTCAGCCAGCTATCTCCTTCCCCTGCAGCTACATCTTCAGCTAGACACTGTAATGAGATCTGCCCACCTAACACTGTAAGCCTTCTGTAATAGAGCTATGTTTTAAAACTTTCATGTCTACTACACTGCAGGTGTCAGGGATGAAACTTAACACACAATCAATGAAGTTACTGAGTCAAAAATGTACTGAATTATCTACCTACCTGATGGAATGTGTGATTGTATTTACTTTTAAAGATGGATAGCTGCCCATCTCAAATAAAACAAGGTACCAACACATTCAAAGTAAATTTTATCTCTAGCACACATGCACTATCAAACAATTAATGATCAATATTTAGCATATTCATTACAACAACTGTTACAGAGTCAGGCTTTCAAATATTTCTTCTTTGATGCAAAATGTGGTTCTGTATAACGCACTGATTTGATGTACATCATCAAATGCATACTTATTAATTAGCCAGACAAAGGCAGGCTAAGTCACTGACATTCTCAAGTTGCTTTGGAACAGCTATTCAGTTAACTTGTCAGAAAACAAGTGTCATCACTAGAAACAGCTATGACTCTTAATATATTTTGAGTTTTTAAAGAGGTAGTGATTGTTTCACTCAAGAGCTAAATACTAATAAAGAAAGTACAGGCAGTAAAGTACTAATGAACGTACAGCCTAGGAGATAAAACACTGGGCTGCAAACATGAAAAAATAGTTTGTTATTGGCAGACTGTTCTGTGCAGGCTATTTCAGCTCCTCACAACCTTTTCCTTATGCATTTTGAAAATACTACTTATACTACATCGATTTTGTGTAACAAAAACATCAATAACAAAATATGAAAATTTTGGTAATTTCTGAAGTGCTAATTTCTGTTCATTAGTATGAAATTCATTTATTATTTTAGTGCTATGATGAATTAATATATTTAATGGTTTGAACTGTATTTAGTTCTAGGAGAAAAAAAGTCTTTCGTAGAAAGCAATCTAGAAGCATATTGCACAATTTTCATAGCAACACATACGAAGATTCTAAATTCTAAACAGCTTAGAAAGCTTTAAAATAATTTTCTAGCATTGACAGGTATATTTTAAAAATGGCAATGTCAAATTTCAACAATTTAACCTCCTCTTCAACCTCTTATCTTCATAAAAAGAGTATGGCATATTCTTAGTTTACATACTCATGGCAGCAATCCAAAAAAGGGAAAGTATACCATTAAAAACATGTGTCTTCTATTTTTACCAAACTCCCACTGGACTCCAGAAATATTGGTTGTATTTTTAATTGTATCCTTACTTAGCATATGCCGGAGAAATCCAGTATGGATTCTCCTCCGCTTCCTTTGCGTGACGTAAAATAGCCTCTCGAGGGTTGCTATCATCTGTCTTATCCAGTGCAATATTCTTGACTATATACGATGACAAGGTACCTCCATGAGTTCCAACACGCCCACCACGACCTGCAGGGAAAAAAAAAAGACTATATTAGAGATAAATATTTAAGAGATAAACATCTGTAACAGTGACCTGATACAAAGACATTATTTAACACTGTAGGAAGAATCTTATTTAAAGCTGCATTCACAAAAGTGTTTTACTGATTATGTAACACAAAATAAGTCATTGTGATTACTTACTTATTTCAGGCAAACACCCCAATCAAAAAACAACGTATAGAGTGTTGGATATTACCCATACATATAGAGTCAGCATGCCAAAAAGTTTGAATGCAAACCCTAAAAAGTGTAGGACTCAACACGATGGTCCCTCTGGCATACAACAGTCTGAATTGATTACACCTAGATTACCTGGTCCTGCTACTGGAGGTTCAGGTTTGTGAGACTTCACAGGGTCCAGCCTATCCTTCTCCAGCTGCTTCCTGGTGCTTCGCTGTCGTGGTTCACGGAACATCGGAAGTGCATGGGCTGAAGGGTCACAATTTGGAGAAAAACAAAGTTAGAAATTTTCTTTATAAGGTTTTAATTACAAAGACGAAGACTGGGATTCTTTCTTGCAATGGAAAATGTGGCAGAAGCAGCAGCCCAGTTGGATACAGTTCTTCTGTATCCAAGCAGTGATTCACTGATGGATACTGAGAGCTTCTTTCTGCTGATTTTTTTTCAAAGATGAAATCAGTCACATTTCTAGGCTTCCTTCAGGCAGGAGCCTTTCATATGAAATACTGTTTGCACAGTTTATGTATATTTAATTTATTCTTCTATCACTCAGTTCTCAGCATTAGCACTGTAACCAACTGGTTGCTCTTTTCTGAACTTCCCAGTCTTCTAATGCTCCAAGAGCAGTACAAAACCCTGGATACATTCTTAGATCTATAACATAGAGGGAAGCAATCCTCTCGATCTAAATGGTACTGGTTCTGCATATGAAATCATAATCATGTTCTTTCTTGAATTATAAGATTAATCAGGGTTGGAAGAATACCCATTACTGAGAGAATTTAGCAAAATTATCAGTATTTAAAACTTCTATTTCCTCAAAAATGTCCTCAGTATCCTTAATCACAGTAATTGTTTTGGTCCACTCAGGCAATTTGACAGCAACAGAAAAACGCCATGTTCATGGACGCAGCTTTCTTATGGTGAGGTTTAGCTCTCACATTCAGATATGCTGATTGCTGCCGTTTCCAAAAATGCAGGAAATTGTGCTGGGGTTAAAAAACCCAACAAAGGCAAAACTCAGCCTAACAAATCTTGCATTTAGAAGCACCAGCCCTACACTGAGTAAAAGAAGAAAAAAAAAAAAAAAGAGAAAGAGGGGAGGGGGAGAGTCTAGGGACTTATCAGTTTGATTTTTGAGCTTATTTCTGGAAGCCTGCTCAATTTATTAGTGTGAGGGAAGTCGCCACCAGGTGACAAAACTGTAGTTCTTTGCAGATAAATGTTTAGGCCTTATTTTTGCAGATTTCATGACGTCTAAAATGCCTGGGACAATTTACTGAAAAGCACAAAGATTGACTGGTTTACGCACAGCGTGTGACTCAGAGATCTATTGCTATTTGTGGTGTCAAAGTTGTCTAAGGAAAACCCAAACTTTATATTCCTGTGCTTTAAATGTAACACCTTATTCCTAAAACCAACATTCCTATATTAAAAGTAGCCATTACAGCCAATCTTAAAATTAAAGGACAGCTGGAAGTCCAAAGGGTGGGGGAAGGGGTTTGAGACGGAGGGCAAAAAAAATGAGAAGGACAAAGGGTTGGATCACTTTCAAAAGGACTTCCAAGATCTTAATTTCTTTCCATTTGTACTGGTAAGCTTAAAAGACAGACATCTAACCTCTGAACAGTTTCCAAAGTATGCAACAAAGTTCAACATTTGCAAAGCAAATCCTTACATTTTTCTGCATCGCTTTATATGGAAGTATCCTTACTTAGGTTTCAAAATGATGTGGAAAAAAAATGGTTTAAACAGCTAAAACTCGGATGATAAGATTTCAAAACTTTGCATAATTGGGACCTAAATCTTTGACTGGCATTTATAAATGCTATTGAATACACAATTTCAATTAGCTTTTAAACAGAGAAGTGGGTTTTTTTGAATCACAAAAGCTCTTTACATTAGAAACATTAACAACAAAGTGCACACAAAGTATTTAAATAGTAGACCATGTGCTGATATAGGCAAGGCTGTAGTAAGTAGGGATGGGTTCAGAAGAGCATCCAAGGGAGAGAAGTATCACTGTTCTTTGCCAGCTATTACTTTACCCACTGCTACCCAAAAATCAGAGCTGGACATCTGCAGCAAGAGGCAGCTGTGGCTGGGAAATACCTGAGGTGGAAACCCAGAAGACTGCTGAGACTTTCTTTTGTTTATTATGCTGCCAAACAATTATCTTGTTCTACAGAAATGGTTTCAGCTATTTCCAGTACCAAAACTACTGGAAAACAATAGTTCCAAACACCATTGAACTGGAAGAGAACTAAGAGAAGCAGGAAAGCACAACTGTGTGATTCTTCTCATTTCACATGAGAAAACACAACATTAGGGGAATGTTAACGGTGAGGGGCAAAAATCTCAGTTGATCCCATCATCCCTTTGGAAAATCTGCCCTTGGGAAAAGGCAGGTAACTAAACACTTTATAGCAACAATGATAACTATTTCTTATGCATCGGCGAGCCTTAATATGAATGCAAGTCCTTATACAATGACAACCTTGAGGATATAAAGGTACTTAAGCTGTTTAAAACCCCATATAACTCTGGATAAGTTCTAAATTTTGAAAAATCACTGGGAATTTTTTCAAGACCTATCACTAAGGTCTCTGATATTGTCACTGGTACTGTTAATGTCACAAGTGGGAAAACACTTCCTAAACCCACCTACAATCACTGATTTAGTTATGTAAAACTGAAGATTTGGAAAAACTCAAAAATACTTGAGTTTTGTTGGTTTGTGTTTTTTTAAGGCAGTTGTTTTTTCAGGCTTTCAGGTGCATCAGAACCTAAAAAGCAACCATTATTAATAACTTTACAGAGCCTACAAGATATATATACATTTCTGATTGTGCAAGGCTAGAAAAAAATATGTACAAAGCACTAACATCTCACACCAGTGAGCAACACTTGATGAAAAGCTGCGAGGAAAATATAAAGCTGTATGATCTGCAAATAATTTCAAACCTAAGAACTAAGGATGCTCCTATAAAGATATACTTAAATTCCTTACGTGTTATAATGTAATCCTGTGTAAGAGTCTCTGCGGGTCTCTCTTTTCGTTTTGTTTTGACCACACATAATTTTGCTCCCCTAGGAGGAAACACACAGCAGTTCAGTTGGTCTGTTTACATCAAACAGAAACAGGTTTTTATTCAAGACAGCCTCAAAGTTATACAGCATTTTAAATATTCATAAATGTGTGTATCTTTGCCTGTCCATGCACATGTGGAGGACAGAGATTACCGATTCTGTTACAGAGCAGTTTGTATGACATGTGGAAACAAGGGTGGAAGATTCATTTCACACTTCATTTGTCCACAGCACTTGCAGAATGTGCTTCTCTCCCAACATCAGCAGTGATTTGCTCCTAGTACTCTTCCTGAGCTGCAGAGGCAGCAGTTATCTAACCAGAAGTGTCTGTAACACTGCAGCTGGAAAAAGCTGCATAAGCCTGGCTGGTGCAGACTGATTTGAACTGGTGGTGTTTTCCTCCTCACAGAAAGTACCAGGGAACAAACTGGACACAAAAATGAGCTAGGACTCCTGTGGTCTGTGCCTAGGAAATGCAGGCTACCTCTGAAGAAGGGTCCAAACAAGGGTGACCAACTCTCTTGTTCTCCAAATTGACAAAGATCAGAAAAATAAAACATTTCCAATAATCTTGTAAACCAGAATTTACCTTCACCTTCAAGTGTCACAGTAAGCATCTGGACACAGTATGTTTTTGGATACCACTGAAACAAAGATGAATGCATATATGGGCAGAACATTATACCAGCAATTATACCAGCAAATGTGCTGTTTTTCAGAAACAAACTGGTTTCTTGTTTTTTATTTCTTTCTACTCTTCCAAAATAAGTAAAACTGAAAAACTCTGCAAAACAAATGCTACTAAAATGTTTTTTTTTCTCATTTACTAGTATAACCAAAGTACCACGGAATCAGGCTAAATTTAAGAAAAAAGATAATGTTCTTAGTCATGAATCATGATTACGTACCTCTGGCTTTTGACAGGATCATAGTAGACTTTGGCCAAACCATTTCCTGTACCAACCATGATCTGGTTCAGCTTAGGATGCCAAAGGCTACGCACAACACTCTGAAATAAAAAAACATATTGATAGATGGTCATTAATCCAGATTTTAGAATTAATATTCCTATTGTCAAATAGTGGATCACAGTCACACTGTAGCAGGAACATGCTTAAGAACATGAATGAATATATAAATATGTAAGTTCCTCTTGAGCACAATGTAAAAGGAGTGACAATGCATGGACGTAGGCAGAAAGCACAAACTGGTGGCAGCATGAGGGTGTTTTCCATAGACTAACCGCTCCAGGGTCTTAGTAAGCATAATGAAAATGGAAAGTTAAAGGAGGATTTGAATAATGACAGCAAGGAGAACAATAAAGTGCTTCAGATACAGCAATATAGGCCTTCATGTCTTTTGCATTTTCATTCTTAATTCTTAGTTCTTCCACCCTGTTCTTTATGTTTTTCACTTCTCACACAGTGCTGACCTTTCACTTGCTGACTAAAGAAATGGAAGAGCAGCTGATTTTCACTCTTGGTTCTTTCTTCCCCACAACACCCAGAAGAACTGGGTAATTGAAGCAAATGTCTCACAGCTCTGTCACACTTCTGGTCAGCAGAGAAACTAATTTTCAGACATTAAGAGAACTGTTCTTTTACACAGAGAGTGTGCTTCTCCATGTGACTTTGAATCTCCACGTGATTAATGTATTCAGTCTGATTCAGCACACCAGCACATGAACTCTGTAAGAGTTGATCTTCTGACTCAGGAACACCAAGGAAGCTGGCATAAAGGGCAACGCATCCCAGTGCATCCCACAAACAAAAACCCTGTATTTGCCTCTGACTATTCAGGGGAAGAAAAGTGTCTAGTTTTTGATAGACAATAATTTTTTTATAGGGATACTGTCCAAGACTGAAGAATGGTCTTAACAGTGTCTGTATTTCTTATGTAATAAATGTATCCAGAGTTAGCAGGATGCATTGTCCTGTTAGTATTTCACTGTAAAATGCTCATTTTTAGCCCTGTATTTCCCCTCGGGTAACTAATTCTCTTTTCTCAAAAGCCAGGAATAGATTCTTCTCAAAGTGAATTAATAATTCAATATTCAACCACTATCACCCCATCCACCTATCTACTTTAATTTCTAACATGATACAGCACATGAAATTCACAGAATGGGAACCACTAATGTCTTAAGAGAAATCCAGCACAGCTAAAATATAATTAGGAGTGTAATACAGCCCTATGACTTGGGAGATAAGAACCACCTAATCTGAAAAAGCATGGTTACCTATCAGCTCTAGTGATCCAGAATCACTTCCCATTTCATGTTCCATACTAGTTTTGCTTTGGTTCAGATCCCAGTTTTTTTAATGTTATGAGAAACAGAGTATTAAAAATATTGAAAAAATTCTAGCGCCCATTCAGCCGTCATGAATCAGAGATTCATTTTATTGCAAAATTATGGAAGACTCTCTTCTCATCTATTTTTCTGCTTTGTGTTCTTGTTTAAGAAGAAAAATTGAATGAATTGAGTTTACATGAATTAACTGACCATTCCTTACAAGGTTCCTCTGCAAAACATTCTCTTTCTACACAGATGTACATACAGTATTCTACATTTCCACATGCTTGCAGGTATAAATGAATCTGGTTTGCTTATTATGAGATAACTAAAGGACAACAATCTATTACGAGATAACTAAGGTACAAAGTATAATTCTCTTATTATTCCATAAGCCTTGCCAGAAGCAATCAAAATAATCAATACAGGGTTGCTAATAAGTTGTTTGATTTAAATAAGACATTCTTACATACTGTTAGTGAATGCTCAAAATGCTACAGTAACTTTAAAACACACAAAGCTAATAAGCACTGAAGGTCAGAGGTGGGTGGCCTTTTATTAATATTTATTGCATGTTTTTCACCAGCCTTTTTAAACATTGTCATTCATGTGGTTCTCCACTTTCTACTATCAAGTAAATGTATTTTATAGCATGGTACTGGATACCAGCCAACAAAAACAAAGTCTGAGACAGTGTGGCTCAGCACTGCTGGGGATTGCTAAATTTCTAACTTGTCAAACATGCACAGCACACTTAAAACCACCCATGGCACATGCTCCAGAGCAGGCAAAATAACTGCCATTAAACACAGGCCTATAAATCTTCTCGAACTGTAAAATGTCCCTAAATATAACTTGTTAAAAACTAAATAAATACAAGCTCTGAACATGCAAGTAATTTTATTAATCCATTGGCATAGAAACTACTTTAGAAGAAATAATAAAAATTTCAGATTATGTTAGAAATGGGCAATACCTTAAAAAGACCAAAATACTTTTGGGCTTTTTAATACCAATATTTCAAAAAGACCAAAATTCCTAAACAAGATCCTGATTTTTTTCCCCAATGATATAAATCTAAAGAAGTAAAAATTCTAAATATCTACACAACAAAGTGATGACTGTGGACTAGGTCTTAACACTGCAAATGAGGGGAAAGGGGATTCCTTATCATACAAAAAATAGTTACTTCATAAAGAGGATTTAGCCTTTGATGCCTCTAACCTCCCTACTGTTCAGTTAAAATAACTCCTGTAGACATCTTTATCACTGGAAATGCTAATCATCGAATTCCAGCTCAAAGAAGGTCCTAGCTCCCAGCTCTCCACGCAAACAAGAGTGTTAATAGCAGAAAAAGTGTATTCCTGGCTTCGCCTACCTATGTACATAGGTAGATACCCACCTACTGATACAGCATTGTACACAATTACAGAATGACTGCAACTGGAAAAGAGCTCTGGAGATCATCTAATTCAACCCCCCATGCTTTAAGAATGGCCAACAAGTAGCTCTGGACATCAAGTTTGGTTTTGAATATTTCTACGAATGGAGACTCTAACAGCATCTCTGGGCAACCTGTCTCAATGTATGACCACCTCCATCATAAAAATTATCAAACCTCAAACCATTTTCTTTTGTTTAAGTGGACGTTCCTGTAATTAGTGTTGTGCCTGCTGTGTAGAGTGGAATAACAGCCTCCCTCAACCTGCTGGCAACACTCTTTTGCCTGATGCAAGCGGCTATGGCTTCTTACTGCCACTTTCTATTTCTCTGAGATGGAAAAGGAATTTGCCATTCCACAGAAACGTTTTAAGAATACCTTGTTTCCTTTTAAGATTGTGCCCTGCAATGGAACCCTACACAAACAAGGTTGTACTTCAATTTTAACTTTGCTTCATGGACGCCAAGCACAAAAGACTTGACCAAGCGTAAGTAATGATTGCATGGAAATCCTGTGAATGACAGCTTCAACATTCAGAAAATACAAACACCAGAACAAGTAAAAATTTCAGTTAACTAATTCTAGATTCAAACAATCACACAGAATGACTTTACCTGTTTCTTATAAAATAAAACTGAAACAGGACAAGTCTATGTAGATTCTGAAATCCTGAAATTTCCATGCCATATATCAACTTTGTAAATGAAAAATAATGTAACAAATAAGAATGATAAAATGTATAATGTATCATAAAATTGACTTCTTCAATATTTAAAATAAAGATTTCTGTAATGTCTGGATGTTTTGGACAGTACATCTTTCGAGCATGAAATCCTGGAAGCCTGTAATATAATCCTGAAAGTAATTTTATCCATGGAACTAATGAAGCCAGCTCTGTAAGATCTGGAAGTACAGCACTTAGATGCAAAAGCATTAAGTTCTTCAAATTAGACCAATCTGAATAGCCTTTTGCAATGTCTGTTGCATATATGAACACAGTAGCCTGTGTTGGGAAATACTGGTAAAAGATTGTGAAAATATTTTTGTGAAGTCATTATGTGAAAATATTAAAAATGTTAACAGAAAGAAAACCACTCCAAATTCACCTTCTTCACTGACACTGTGGAAGAGGCTACAGCAGATTCAGTGGGTGTTATTGACAGTAGGCCTTTGTAGTTATTTTCAGGTAACAAATTTTCTTGTAATGCTACTTAAACTGAAAGTCAAAACATTATTTTAAAGACATTGTTTTTGCAATCTGGATGAGAATGTTTATCATGTTAAACAACTGCCTAATAAAATAAGAACATATTACTGATCATTCTTGAAACTTGCCGTATCTTTTTCTGAAGTTGCTATAGTATGGTTAAAACAAAATATGAATTATCTGAACTACACATAATTTTTACTTTATTTTTAAACTAAGCACTATACTTACTTCAGACTCCCAGTTCTTTTAAAATAAACCCCAGATTTAGAAAGTTTTACCTATAGTAACTTAAAAGTTTAATAATATGTGGTAATCTTAAACCATATAACTCAAATACATAGAAAGGTGGCAGGCAAAAGTGATGGTATTGCTATTCCCTTGTGTGCTATTCCACCTGCACTTCTTCTGAGACATGCAGTCCCAGCTCATGTGAAATTCTGGGGTGATTCATAAATAGTCTCACCCTTAACAGTCTGTTCTCACCTGTGTCTTTCCCTTTGTATCATATGAAGTAGAGCTGTTGCTGCAGATAAACAATAAACTATACCAAATAATTTTTCTGTTAGGTTATTCTTCGTCTGGCTTAGCTGACTAGGTGACTACACACATGGTTTTGCTGGCACTATGTACATCAACAGTGTTTTGATGGGATTTAAGAGCAGTGCCTCTAAATGAGAAACTGAAGCCTGAAGCACAGTTTTCTGTTACATGGAATGGGACATTTATTCTGGCCTAGAAATATACTCCTGTGTTTAGCAGGCAAAGTGAAGAATAACCAAAGCAGATTTCTCAGCAAGCAAAAGCTAATTATCTCAACTGAAACTGTCCAGAGCACTTGGGTAACTCCCCAACAGAAGTAAACAATACGGAGAGGGTATTTTACAAGGTCAGCAAGAAAAGATTAAAATGATTTGTGGCATAGGAATGGAAAATTTACCCCTAAGATGAAACCACGAAGCTGGGTAAGGTCATAAAACTTGAAACTGATGTCAAGGATTAAAAGAATTCTCATGGATCTTTGCTTATAAATATGTGTCAAGACTGCAGCAGCAAAGACAAAATTCA